TTTTTCCTGTAATGCACTTTCAATACCTTTACATGCTTTCCTAGGAGTAGTGGTAGATTGTAAGGAAAATCCATTCATCAATATATCATACGACCCTTGATTTTCAAGGCGCCGGAGCACTATCCCTGTTATCGCCTCATTCACCCCATATATCATACGATCATCGCTCTCCGAGCAACGCGCTGGAGCACCGCCTAAAACCCACCACCAACACCACCACTAAACGGCCTTGTAGTTCAGGCCGTGAACCTGACGGCCGAGACCAGTTCCTCTCTCGGCCACAATCGTTTGATTAGAAGTCGAACCCGAAACAGGCACATCATTTGAACATCTTCTACTCAAACCCCATCACCATCTCGACGCACGGTAGACCGTGCTGGCACACCCGTGCACAAACCGCACCGCATCCAAAAGGAGGACGTCACGAGTTGACGCACATCCCCTCGGCCCGGAGCACCAGGCCGCGAGATTTGTGACAGACCAACACCTCTCAAATTACAAGCATTCGTGAAGCTAAGGAAATTGTTAGGAGTTTACTCTGTGAAGGATATTGCTTGAAGACAGAAGCTATAGTGCACGTTGAAGGTTTCTCTCTAAACTGATTGTTCAAGGAACATTTAGTTTAAGGGAGGGTGTTAAGATTTTATCTAGTTACAGCAGTTGTTTATTTAATTAAATAAACTGATTATCCTATTATGTAGGAAGTCATGTTGCACGTTGTTATGTTTACCAAGTCTTTAGGAGTCTCCCAGTAGTAGAGTAGTTTGTTAGTGGTGTCAGTAATGGATTAAGTTAGTAGGAGTCATGTCCTTGAATTTAGCATAGTCTGGTGATGTAACGTTCTATTTAAGTTCAACTTTATCAATATACAAATTACGCTTTCCAGCACCTCTTCTCACTCGTGTTTGGATTTTGAGTTTAACTCTACACTTTTCCTCTACTGCCACCATGGCTCGATCGGCCACCTCTAGTAAGCTTTTTGGGGGAAAGCAAGGTTAGTATCTTCTCTTTTCCTAACCTTCTGCTCCTTTTTTGCTCCCTCCCAACATCCTGCCACTCCACTTTTGCGGGCCGCTTTAGACCCATATGGCTAAAAGCTCTCTGGTCATCCTCTGCTGAAATGGGGGTAGTGTGTCGCAGAGTAGTATCAAAAGGGTTCCTAAAGTGGGTCTCATTCCCAATATAAGGATTGTTATCCTCCACCCTTGGTGCGCTCATACTTGGCCCAGGAGTATCCCAATCCATAATATATTGATGACCCATCGAGATCGGGGCTCTCCTTAGGTCCATAACTTGTTCAAAAGACAATGGGCCCTTACAGTTACTAGGCCTAACAATCTGTGAAGGAAAGTTAAGCTCAACAAGGGCAAGGCTGTTGTCATAATCGGAGGTTACCATACCATTTGGCCCATAGGTGCGTGCGTTCGAATCACGGGGGAAGGACAAGGCTGGCTGGTCCCCATTGTCTCTTCCTGAACTGTCAGTATTTGGCTGGTTGTGCTGACCAGCTGCCACCTCGTCAGAGCTCGTGCCTACGATTTCCTCTGTACCCGACATTCCCCTCAGGCTCCCGCCAATGGTAGGGGGCCGTACCACATTTTGCTGGCCTCCCTGATATGGATTTAAGGTTAGCCGTTGGGCGGAGGTCGCACCATTGCAATTATACGGCCGCTGGCCTGGTACACCCTTTTCGCCGGCCTTTCTTCTTCCCCCATTTGGCACCTGCGGTTGTGGTGGGGTGGTATGTTCAAGTCTCACTGGCTCCACCGCCAGCCAGCTGCCATAGCCTGATCTTTCTTCACTCTGATTGTTTGCCGGGCAGATGGAGTTCTTATGTCCCAGCCGCCCACAACAAAAACAAAAATCACCAAGTTTCTCATAGCGTAACTCAACCCAAGATATAGAGCCATCGCGTCGCGGCAGCCAGAATCCATTCACAAGGCGGTTTCGGGAGTCCAGGTCCACTTGGAAACGGAGATACCCTCTGCTTCCCCCCTTATCTTCCAGCTTTAGCACCTTCCCTAATTTTCCACCAATCTTTCCCCCACACTCCTTATTCATCAGATTTAGAGGAATCCCATGCGCTTGTACCCAATACTGAACCATATGGGTAGGGAGTTCTTCCATCGCCATATCAGATGCCCAATATTTAACCGAGAAGCAGTGTCTCATCACCGACCAAGGGCTGGCCTCAACAATTTTTCCTGCAACCGCTTCGTTCTCCACCACAATGGAAAAAATATTCTCTTTCACATGCGAGATCTTTACTTCACCAAAGTTCGACCAGGCTTTTCTTAGGATATTCTTGATAGCCCCAATATTTGGAACTTTTGAGGCGATAATACACCCAATAAGTTGGATGCCAGTACTAATATTTGTTAAATCAAGAGAATATTCAAGGTGGAGGACCAGCTCATCCGCTGCCCCCCTTTCCACAGGTGTGAAAATCAATACGACCCCTCAAAAGAGAAACTTTTTTGGTCAACTTCACGTTGGAACAAGGGACCAAATAAAAGACAAGGGGAAAAAGAGAAAAGAGAAACAAAAGGTGGAAATCTCAGAGAGGGGATTAAAATAATGACGGCCTATGGGGCCAAGATGAGCTTGGGGCATCTGCTACAGAAGCAAGGGTTTTCTCATTCTAGAGAGAGAGGCTCTCATTTTAGAGAGAGGGATTTTCGAGTCTTTTAGCAATTAGGTTAATAGTATTAGATATTTACACAAATTGCATGGTTGACATTATTCAGATTGAAACTAGGACAAAATTGACAAATAGAAAATTTGTGATTGCCCTTAATTAAGAGGATCCATTTTTGCCCAAACGAATACCGATCACAAGTTCACACATCCCAGTTCTCATAAGCTGTTGCTAATCCATTGTTCCCATCTTCAATCCCACAATCCTGGTTTTCCATATTCCCCAATTTCCACACTTACCCACCACCAAACCCTCCTGTTATGTTAATTTTGTCTTTCAAAAAACTCAATTATCTCCCAATTCCCAATCTTCGTTTTTACCCATCTCCTATCCTTTCCTTTCTACACCGATACCAACTTTCAACATCCCCAATTTCTATAGCTAAAAATTGAAGCTTCAAGACTTCAATCGTTGGAAAGGCCACAATCAGAAAATTTAACCCATTTTATGTAACAGGTCTGATTGGTAGCTGGGAAAATTTGCTCTGTGTTTGCTTTATACTTTTTATGGGTTTGAGTGAATTATAACATTTTCTTTTTTTACTCTTTGTTTTGGGGTTTGAAAACAGAGGGAGAAGGTGGGGTTGGGCGTGGGTTGCGGGTGGAGATGGGGCGATCGGGTTGTGGGCAAGAAAAAAACCCTGAGGGAGAGCACAGGTAGGAGAGAGAGAGAGAGAGAGGAAGCAGTGGGAAGGGGATGGGAGGAGAAGAGGACGAAGACGAAGAGAGGGAGGTTTCTTATTTTATTTTATGTTATTTTATTGTATTAAATAATTAATTTATTATTTGATGGGTCCTACAATGAACACATCATCAGTTAACATCTAATCAAACAATCAATTTAACGGAATACTTAAATTGTTTAAATTTGAAAACTATGAGATGTAAATTGATGAAATTAAAACTCGAAGCCCTACATCGAGGATGACTCCAAGCTTTTGGGGTATCTTTTACGTTAGCCCTATTTATTCATAATAATGGGGTGCAGTGCAGGGGTTTCACCATGAATTTGGTCTGCCATTGATGGGAAGGTTTACGGCTAGAAGGGTGTCTGAGTTTGCGGGGGTGGGGAGGAGGGAAGCCCTGAGTAATTTATTTTTTTCCAAACCATTTTTTTGGTTTTTAACTTTTTAATTAATGGGACAAAACCTTAATGGATGTACAAAAAGTTTTTCTCGGGTGTGTTTAGAATTATTCAACGGGATGTGGATGGGGATGGAATTCGTACAAAAGTTTAAACCCTCCCACAGCGGAAGCAAGACTTTGTTGACTTGGATCAATGTAAAGGTCGTCCCCTATTCGATCTGGTTAGCTGAACCACACAAGTATCTCTTGTGGTCGACCCAAGAACCACATCAGACAACCGGGAGATGAAACTTGCAGCAGGTTCTTAAAATCTTCTATCTTCAGTTAATTATTTGCTAAGTTGTGTTTCTAGTTGCAGGTTTTGGTCGATGAACAACATAGAATTTCAGTTTCGGTTTTGAAGTCAGTGTGAGAGTAATATTATTATTGTATATTTCATTTTCTCACTCTTGTTTCTGTTTTCAATTTGAAAACAAATATTCATCACAGAGGTAAAGTTGATATAGATATGGATTTTGCATCTTTATTATTCATCTTATTTAAATCTTTGAATCTCTAACAATGGCCGGAAACAGATTGAAAGCAAAGGACAAAAAAGATGATGGTTGACGAGAGTGCGGACGACAAGAGTTCAAATCCTTCCTCCAAGTGTCTTGGTCTCAGCGGGTATGACTTTCATTTCACCATAAGCTGTTTTGGGAAAAAGAGAAATGGGCGGCAAATGTTTTTTTTCAGGTGCATCATATATATGTGTGTCATAATCAGAATAATCAATTTTTAAGTTCCACCATGATTCCAAAAATTTGTCAGATCTAAAAATTACTTGGTTTAGATGGAGAAAATTCGAGAAAATAAACTCAAATTAAACACAAAATTAAATAATTGTGATTGATATTATATTTTTTCAAGAGAATATATATACAAGTACAAGTTGACTTTTCTTATAATGAATAGTAATTAACTAACCACAAGAAATCCTAACTAGGTAAGTAGCTATTCTAATTAGGTAACGTGAATTACAACAGCAAATCAAGGATCACAGGGTCCCTGAATTATGGTTCACGCAAACAAATAACTCAAAAATTGAAGAAGAGGAATTGATATTTCTCCATCTTTATCTCACTCTTGAATTACCCAAACAAAAAATAAATCAATAAACAGATTAATCAAACCCAAAATAAATAAATAAAACCGTCAGGAAAAAGAACAGAGACTAGGGAGGATGGTGAGGTGTTAACCCAATTACAAAAAGAATAATACTAGTCTTACCACATTTTTATACCACAATTTCATACCATATGATGTGGCAGCTAATGTGTACATACCACATCATGTAAAATACTAGTTTCTGTTTTTCTAATTTTATTTATTAAAATACACTTCATTCATTTAATTGATGTGGCATATGATATGGACATGCCACATCATGTGGTATAAAAATGTGGGATAAAAATGTGGTAAGTGTAGCATTACTCTTACAAAAATTAGGGATTCCGGCGAGGATGTGTGAGTCAAATTAAAACTTCCATACCCAATAATAAATGGTTATTTCTAAGAGAGTGAGAGTTGTTCAATATTTATTTTATTTTATAAATTGTTTCAATAGATTTATAGTTTTATAATAATAATAATTATTATTATTAAATAACTTGCGGGCCCATCTACTGCCATATCACTAATTAACAAGTTTTTATATAATAGATTGATAGTGGGTATGAAAATAGAAGGAAATTTAACTTTATGTACAAAAGTGGGACGACAAAAAATTTGAGTACTAAAGTCTGAAAATCGGTAAACTTCAGGGTAATAAAGTGAAATACGAGTATTCAAACGATCTTGAGATAATTCAATAGAGCACTTACTAATACTATGATTTAAGTTGGATGACATTTCAATAGTTACTAGGACATACGTCATCCACTTATATATTCTAAACTTTTTCTCTTATACTATCAGGCCCATTGTTTGCGGCGGTGCAACTTTCAAAAGGACTGCAAGCCAAGATTATTGCTCGACGCGAAGGTACACAAGAATATAAATTTGATAAAATTACAAATTATGACCAAATATGTACTCCCAACTTCTTGAACATTTCCAGCAAAAAGAAAAAAAAATTCTTTAACTTTTTTACCCTAACATATGAGTGCGTGAGGTTATTTAAGGGTGATTTTGGAGTGCCAAGGCATCGCTCTAATACAACTATGAATAATCTATCAGAGTTGAAATTCTTATGACTTGTGCTAATGGAACAAGTGTTACAGCTAAATGTTGTTCTAGTGCTGCCACTGAAATTAGGTTCAACACTGTCAATTCCTTTCATACTGATTGTAGTTCCATTTTCAAAAGGAGAAAGATTAAGTCAGGAATCACCGAGAAAACAGAGAATGAAGATGAACGCCCGGTACGAGTCTTGGACAAGCCAGACAAGTGGTGTATCTATAGGGTTCCCAGCAAACTCCGCAGAGTAAATGAAGCAGCATACACTCCTCAATTACTATCAATAGGCCCTTTCCACCATGGCAAACCAGAACTCAAGGACATGGAGACCCATAAAAAGATATATTATGAGAATTTTCTTGCACGTTTTAACAAGAATGACGATGAACTAAAGCAATTCATCAAGACTCGACAAGAAAATATTCTTCGTTGTTACGCAGGGACCATTGAGCTTAACAAAGACTTTGAAGACATAATTGTGGTTGATGCGTCATCATTGAGCTATTTTTAATGAACTTTTGCGAACCAGAAAATCATGAAAATGATTATATATTGAGATCACCATGGCTGAGGAAAGCTGTAGAGCAGGACTTGATACTGTTTGAAAATCAGCTTCCTTATTCTCTTCTTCAAGAACTATATCAGGACTTTGCTGTGCCTGCCTCTTCCAATTTCCAACCATGTAAAGAAGTACAAGAACAGGCTAATAGACATAGCAATACCAATCATTACCTGCAGTACTGCTCGCCTTGCTGCCAGCATTGCTTTCCTCGCTGCTGGTGGATTCCTTCCAAGGATCAGTCCATCGTCCAAGTCGAACCTGCTAATGATGATCCCCTGCTTAAGCTTACCTGTGAGTTCTTCAAAGATTATAGTAAGGGAAAATCCGTCAAGAATGGAGTAAGACCGAAACATTTCACTGATTTGGTTAGGCATTTTCTATGTCCTGACAAAGAAATGGATTTTGAACATAGTAGTACTCCTATAAAAAATATATATGCTGCAAGGAAGCTGAGGGCATCAGGGGTGAAATTTAGGCCACTTAAAGAAGGCCACTTTATCATTGAAAAAGATGAGGCCACTAAATGTAAGTTCAACTTGGCATGTTTTAGAAATATGGACTTGAAGCTTACGCAATTTTGTGTCAAGGATGAGACAGAATGCATTGTTCGGAACATCATGGCCTTGGAGCAGTTTTTGTACCCAGACAAGCCTTATATCTGCAATTACTTTTTGCTTATGGATCAGCTGGTGGACACTGTGGATGATGTGGATTTGCTGGTTGAGAACAGAGTTATTCTTAACATGCTAGGCAGCAACGAAGCAGTGGCGAAGCTGGTTAATAGACTTTGCGAGCAGATCATGGATGATAAATCCTGCTATTTTGACATCTGTGAACAGCTTAATAGGCACCATGAGAATTTTTGGAACCGTCATGTGGCAACCCTGAAACGAGTTTACTTCAAGGATCTCTGGACTGGCAGTTCAACTGTACTTGGAGTTGTTGTCCTTGTTTTCTCAGTCATTGGAACCATTAAGTCTCTCAAGTCGTAAGCTTTATGCTCGTTCAACTCGTGATTCTTAATAGACAGAATGTTAATTTCAGTCATTATTTCGAAGTGATGAACTGAACAAATAAGTTAGCTAGTGTTTGACCCAAAAAAAAAAAAAAAAAAAAAAAGTTAGCAAGTGTTATAGATTTAATATAAAGTTTGAGTTACTAATTAGTTCTGTTATTGTTGTTAAAGACTGCAGAGCAGTTCTTGTGAATTGATTGTAATGAACATAATTTCCATTTAGAATTAAATAAAGAAAGAGTTATGCTCTTGTTTTCATTGCACTCAGAGTTGAAGACTTGGATCTTGAAACTTCAGCCTCAAAGCCACTTGCTGCTTTCTTTGTCTGGTCTTTACAGCAAATAGATGTTAAGAATGTAACTGCGGATGTAAGCCTTGTGTGGATACAAAAACAAAACTGCTCCAAAAGGTGTCTCATCTTCCACACAAAACTGTATAAGCTTCAAGTCCATGTTTCTAAAACATGTTAAGTTGAGCTAATAATTACTATAATTACAGACCTGATCATCCTTTTTTATGACCAAGGTTACATCTTCAATTGGACTAAACTTCACCCCTGCTGCCTTGAGCTTTTTCCGGCTGATATATAATTTTGAGGGCCACTGACACCATTTGCTTTGCTTCAATTTTTGTACCTTGGATTGTATATGGTTCAAAATAAATTTCGTTCAAATAGCAGCTTACCCTTTTTACAATCAACAAGAGATTGGATATACTTGGGATCTCTTTTTAACATTAAGAAGAAAACTGCCATGAAACTAAGAGCTAGTTTATCTAACTCGACCTCTTATAAAATTCTCTGGCTTTTTTCTAATGGCAAACCTATAGGAGTTCATTAAATACGGAAATATATGAAGGCTTTGGTACAATTTCAAGCTTCAATCGAGGCATTAACCAGCCAGTAAGGAGGATTTACAATCCACCCAGGAGCTTACAATATTTTTACCACTACATCATGAACAACTTTATTACGCCTATGAGCAATTTTGTTAAAGATGCTCTTTTTCATACACTCTGAATTCCAACTGGGCATCCATATGCAGACCGCTCCAGACGTCTATGAGAACGTTACAATGGACTCGACCTCAATCTTCAGCCAGCCCTCTCCAAACTGTCACAGCCTCTGCAATGAAACTTATACAGTATTGCACACAGCCTGACAATAGTAAAGCTCAAATATCATCTCCACACACACACCCACCCGATCACTATTGCCTCTGATTGCTCACACCATGCAGCATTGCACGTTAACATCAGCAATCCTCAATCTCAAACAGCTCCAGCTCAACTCACTCAGCAGAAACCCCTTGAACTGGATTCTAAATGTTATACTGCCTTATAGCGTCTTTACCATGCACAGAAACAACTCTTCAGGGTCAGTAACAGTAAGACTACCATTAACAGACTTATTAAAATAAAATAAATAATAAAAAGAGAAAGAAAGACTACCATTCAACAGTACCTTACTTCATATCTTCCATAATCGCCAGATCAAACACCAGCTCAAAAAAATTACAGACTTTTCTGCTTAAGTGACATATTTCTATCTATACCAATCCATGACATTGGATGTCAACAGGAAACAAACACAAATCCTTAAAATATGGAAATGTGAATATTAAAATTTGAAAACTGCTATCCCAATAATAAAATAATGATTAAAATCATAAAATCCCCCAATCCACCTCATTATCAGTTGTTAGATGTAACTATGGAAACATAATTACAATTACAGCCTCACAAGGAAGGTTTCCAACTAGCCATTTATTGTGAACCAAATAACTACAGCAAAGAGGGCGGTTACTGTTTCCGGCCTACAAGGTTTAAGTTGGTATGCCTAATTTTCATTTGGAGCAATATGAACTTGTAATCTTCAATTTATATCAAACTGACCTATTTAGTTTTCAATTTGTACTAAAGTTGTTCATCTATTTTGTAAACCATTATGAACAGAAGAATATATATTCAGTCAAAAACAAGTGTAGCAATTTTGTCATCTACCTTGTTCACGTAGTACAAGTGTAGCAACTTAAAAGAAAACTCAGTAAAAACAAAAGTATACATGTTGAATAAGACAAAAAATCTTTTAGATGATGGTAGTAGCCACAAGCTGCTCACATGGTCATGGCACTGGTTCTAGAAGGGATGACCTAAGCATAAATGTTATGTCAAACTACGATTACATTGCAGACACGTGGAGGTTTTACTTTTCTTTTTGAGCAATTAGGTTAATAGTATTAGATATTTACACAAATTGCATGGTTGACATTATTCAGATTGAAACTAGGACAAAATTGACAAATAGAAAATTTGTGATTGCCCTTAATTAAGAGGATCTAAATAAAGCTTTCATTACAGGATAAAATTTTGAATAATATGTAGCAAAAGGATGTAATTGAACAACAACCATGCGATCAGAAATTTCCAAGAAAAAGTTTGATAACAAAGATTCTGTGGGCGGTTTAATGGCATGATAGGCATGTGACCAATCAAACATTATTTCCAAGAAAACATCTAAATAAACATGTTTGCAGGCAGGTCCTTTGACGAAATATGCAACGAAAAAAGTGTTATGCATGCTGTAATCAAGTAATGATACATTTTAAATGCGTCTGTGTATTCCTTATTACCATTAACCTCCAAATTGTGGATGCCAGGGTTGCCTCCCCCATGAAGTTACAGGTGTCTGGCTCTGATGCAGCCTTTGGAGGGAGAAACCCACATTGGGTAGCTAGGTCAGTTCTTCATAGGAAGCAAGCCCAGATGCACCCTGAGGATTGTGCAAGCACGTTTACAATGCAGTACGCTCAATCTGTAAGGTCAAAAAGAAGGTGAAGCTTCAGTGAGAAAACATAAGCATCAACCCACTGAGGCATGTATGGCTCCTTATAGGGCAGCTGCTGCTTACTTTTCTGTACATACATTAATTGCCAAATTTAGATTTTTTGTTTCTCTAGTCTAAACCAAGAGCTGAATTAGAACTTGATCCCCAAAAAATAGAACATTGAACGTGCATACAAGAATATGCTTGAAACACTACAGCTACATGAATTATCAGACCGAAAAACCAGAATTTATGGTCTTCAGTGACTTTATGACTCCGAAAACGAATTAGTGATCCACAGTACCAAGACTAATTTGACACACCAATAGTTTGAAACTTTCAAAAACACTAGAATGCAATTATGCAATTAATTTGATATTTAACACACAAGGCGATTTAAGTCCAGAAGGACCCAAATCTAAGCAATACAATGTAAAAAATAAAATAAAATAGATGCACTTCATTTTAACTGTCTGCAAAGCTAGCACATATCAAACGTAAATGAAGATGTTGCCATGGAGGACTACAGACATGAATAGAGAAATCAGATGACTGATGAAAGAATCATAACCAATTTGCATCTGAAGCTATCACTGACCATGGTTGCAGCTCCAGAAAATATTCAGCCACAGAGCAGATTTAAGGCCACTTGCTCTTTTTGTTCTTGTAACATTATTAACAAAACAATTATCTTATTGAAGATATATATATATATATATATATATATATATATATAAAGAGAGAGAGAGAGAGAGAGAGAGAGAGATCTATGTGTTACTACTCCTGGATTCTGAAGATAGGTCTAATGCTAGACACAAGTACAGAAGGTAGGATATTTTTATTTTTCCAGTAGGATAATGAGAATGACCTAAATTTAAAGTAGGGTGTATGAAGCTCATAGGTACATAAAATATCAGGAATCTCAAGGATGCACTTGCCACCCAAGGAAATGTTAGATCTGACATTGTGATACGGAAAAAGAAAATTTGTCACAACGAAAATTTGGATGTCATCTCAACAGGATATTCATATATATCCTTACATGAAACTAACGCTTCTTAACTGCTTCGAAACCATGGGCATGTCAACTTACAGTAATTCAAACAAAAGGCATCCAATTACTCCTTTTACTAAAGGGGTAAGCTTAAAAAAATGCTTTCATTAGTTACTTTGAGATGCACATTCTGCAAGCTTGAGAGACTGCTAATGCAGTGCATGAAACTCAAGCACAACTCAAGTAAAAATGAAAAGCAACCACCTTGTGATATAAAACCACTAGCTTCAAATAAAATAATCCTGAACAAAATCTTCTTGTAATGGAAGTGCTAAAAAAATCTCGACTGTTGAATCAATATTCAAGCAATTAAGTGGCTGTTCTTCAAGGGGGCTATTAAAAATCAATAACCATGTAATGACTACAGAACAAAACATTTTTCCAATTTAGCACAATACTCTTAAAACCATTTAATCACTTGCATTACAAGACGAGATGTCAGAAACTATAGAGCTTTATGGATTCAACTTGAGTCTCAACCAGGAACAACTCATCTCATATATACCATTCACAACTCCAATTGCGTCTTCAATTCTAGGATCTAATTTCCCCCAATAACACATCTCCATCCCTCTATTTGTTTTGTTTTGTTAAACATCCACACTCCCACCCTCTACTTTTCATTTGTGTGTGTATATGTGTGTGTCCAAGCACGCGTATAGAGTTATTCATTAATTAAGGTGAGCTTTCTTGAACTGCCCAGCTTCCTTATGTCTCAGTTTCAGTGTCGATATCTTTCACCATTACCAATAATGACTTGTGTACGGTTATCAACCCATCTAAGAGTGTATAGCTCATCAACGTTTATGTGTTTAGTTAAGCTGAAACTATGCATAGCGTGAGTATAGTCACACCCTTGAAGTACAAACAAAAAGGTAAACACTGCACTGCATACACTTAAACCACAATCTCCATAATTCTAAGCAGAAACCTCTTCTAATCTCAGTACTGCTTATTTTCTATCAATGAAATTATATATCCGGATACAAGCAGATGAAAAATACTGCATACTAGCTTGAATTTAGAATCTCCAACATCTTATCTCACATCTACCCTGCATTTCTGTCTTTCTCCCCTCTGCACTTCTGTTTCCAATCTAATTCCTACAAGATCAACCCCATCCTCCTCCCCCACTTTGAGTTCTCCTTTTCTTCTTTGAGTGCCTATACTTTCTAGTAATCAGAAAAAAAATTACGTGTGCATGGTGTGTGGTGCATGGACACCTCTAATAGGAAAGAGAAGTGTGTGCTCGCTAGGAGTATAACACGTCATTCAAATCAAGTAACAGTTAGCACACAAAACTTTGCTGCTCAACAAGTGTTGATTAAGAAAGAGCATAAAGGCGACATGCATATAAATAAAAAACACGTGTGCATTCCAATTTTGGTCTACGATATAAATCCCGATCGCCTCAACTAGCAACAAACAATATCTTGTGAACTAGCATGAAAAAAGAAACTGCATTAAACCATTTCCAATTCAAGGAAAAAGACAACGTCTAAATTTGATTTTGTTATTATGCTTTATTCGTCCAACTTGTAGCCGATAACTGATAACTGATAACCCCTATGTACATCTGCAACTACTCATAACAGCTAAAATGGTACAGCTCTTCCGGCTATTCATTGACCTTCCTACGAAAAGACAAAAACATGATACATCTGTATTATCCTTTCACCTTCTCAGATCTATCATTGTTATACCTTCTGTGTTCAAAATGTTTAGAGCAGTTCACAAGTCTTCAAAATCGCCGCCAAACATTTAACTAAAAGCAGCCTCATCCCATCTAATCCTGAAAGCAGCATATTCAAATTCTCTGTTTCACATACCAAGTCAAACAGCAACCAATTAAGATTAATATATGTTTTGCACATTACACAAAAATAAAAATCTACTGAAAACAAACCAAAGGATTCATAAGATTTCACCTTCAATGGAGTTTCAGGAACCTGGTAGGAATTGGTAGATACTGAATTCAGCCACAACCCGGGAAACAGATGCTGCAAAACAAATAAAACCACATCAAATATTCGAAACGCTAATGACCCCAAAAGACATAATCACACAGAACCATTCCCAAAACCTCAAAAACGTTTTAAAATTAACCAACCCCAGCTATAAAAAAATATAAAAAAATATGAAAAAACTCAAATTAAATTCAACAATACAGACATCAAGCTGTTTCTGCACATTCTTAGCTCTCTTCTTTGGGCGCCTGGTTGGCCTGGCTCCAGTCATAATAAAAATGTCCTCCTCAATCTCTTCTTTTGTTAAAGAAACCGATATATTCAGTTTATTGTCCTTCTTTTGAGCACCTTTGCCTCCAGCTTTAGAAGAGCCCCCAGCCACCTCGGTTTTGTTCTGCTGCACCAGCGGTGCACCAGTCTTCAATGCACCAGCACGACCATTGGCCTTAGGCACCGGTCTCCTGGGCCTGAGATTCCAAGTCTTCTGAATCGTCTCTTCATCCTCCAGCGCTGCTAAAGCAGCAGCAACAGAGCTCTCTTTTTCATTTTCCGGTTCAGGTTCAGGTTCAGGCTCAGGCACCACAGCAGCCTTTTCTTTGCTCCGAATCCGGATGCAAATCTTCGATTTCTTATCCTCAGCAGTCGATTTTGGCTTCTGGGTCTCCGGGCCGTCGATCACTTCCGTGGCGGGAATTGGGTCGGCTTCTTTTTCGACATTGGAGGACTTGGGCTCGGGCTGCTTAGCTACCGGGTCAAGCTGTGCGAGTTTGGTGTTGCTGCTCAGTTGCAGAGAAAGGTTGTTATTTCCGCTGCTTTTCGTGCTGGTCTTGTTGTTTTCGTTGCTTTTGGTGGTGGTGGTGTTGTTGCTCATGGCCCATTTCAACTGGGGCAAAGGGGGGCCATGGTTTTGGGCTTGGTGGGCAAGAGACTTGGAAGGCACAGTGGAGGCCATGGAATCTGGTTTCGGGTCGGGCTCGGGTATGGTTTCGGGTTGGGAAGAGACTGAATTGAACACCATGAAGATGGGTTGGCTTGCACTGCCTCACTGAGACTGAGTAGAATCAAAGAAGGTGCTTGCAGTGGTGGGGTTTCAGTGGTTTTGGCATCGAGACAATTTATAGATTCACAGAGAAAAAGAGGAGTGGCTTGGGGAAGAGGGAGAGCGCCTGGTTTTGAGAGAGAGAGGAAGGGCAGTTATGATCCTACTGTTTCTGGAAGAAGCATACATTGTTTCTTGTTTGTTCTTTTGTGTCTTGTGCCCATAATGCCCCTCTCATTTTCTTGTATTTTGCATCACCAAATTGACCTTTTTTTTTTAACGAATGAAAAAAAACATAAACATGTTTTTACCTTCTACCTTTTTTTTTAATCCCCTGTTTCTTTAACTGTTGTTGTTTTATATGAAACTATACAAATATTATTTGTAAAATAAAAAGGAACAAATATACTTGAATAGAGATAGGGGGAAGTTTGTTGGGAATTGAAAAATGAAGAGTTAAACTGAAAGAGAGATGGGATAAGTGCAGAACCACGAATACATGATTCTTCGTATATTCCGTATTAAAAGAAATCCTATGCACTCCGCCGAGTTTTTTTGAAAGTCCTTCCACATGTACAATGTGATTAAACATAATTTCGGATGCACTTCTAACCCTAATATTCATTAGTAAGTTATTAGGTCGTTGAGATTAACTTGGTAAGCCGGTAATTCGACAATAAGCACCTATTTAATCATGCTTAAATTAAATTTACTGTGTAATATCAATAATTTAAAATTTATAAGCATTCATGAAGAAAAAAAATATAGGTTAACAATAAAGTTATTTCTAAGGCTTCTCAATTCTAAACCCTAGTCGAGGATAGGTGTTTAATTATTGTTAATCACAAGAAAAAGAAAATTACCCTCAAAATTTTACATTGCTAGTGGTTATTATTCCTTACATTTTAAAATATTTATAGAAAGTTTTTGTGTTAGTGAAATGTAATTTTTTTGGGGACGAAATCTGGGAAAATTAAAGATCAAATGAAAATAAAAAAAAATAAAGTTAAATATCACATTGCCCTTTAGATTCAAATTTTTGTCTCCTCATTCAATTTCTCGTCTGGAAAAATTAGGTATAGCAATTAATTTCAGAATCTAGATGGTTTTTGCACCAATTATGTATTGTCATGTTAAATTTTGTACAATCCTTTTTTTGGGGGAACACTTTGGACCAAGTTGTTCATTGCATATAGGGAAATGGTAAAAAGACGTCCAAATCCTTTTCTTCTTATCCGAGATGGAAAAATTAACGAACTTTTTTTTTTCTTTTTGGTAATAAAAGTTAAAATGGAAGCCTCTTTTTTTTTCTTTGGGAAAAAAAATAATTTAAAAAAAAAAGGAAAAATATTACGTTTGACTGCTTGAAGGGATATGACTCGTGGACACCATGCAGAGATGAGGTGACAAAATGTGGGGCCTGCGATGGGTCCACCTGGAACCGTTATTTTTGTTTCCATTTCACGGTTTTGCTAATCTGTCTTTTTCGGTGGGGCTTTATTTTAGATTAGTCCCCTTCAAGGACCTAAAACAAAGTACCTAAAATACTTCTTTATGAAGTCAAAAATATCCATTTCAAGAGAAGAGTTGCCTTCTATGTTTGGGACCCACCACCTATGATCTCAAAAATTATAAAGAAATTGGATTTTTCTACTGAATTTTTTGTCTTTGGGTTTAGTATTAGAAATTTACATGAAAATATAATAATCGAATGGAAGTCTTGAATGACATAGTTTGAGGCTAAGCTCAATATCATCACCAAAACGATGGGTAGAGGACTTAAGAATCATCTCTGCAAAAGCTAGTTTCTAAAATAATATTATAATATGTAATTATTTTAGTATTTTAGTATTTTGGGCCAAAAATAATTATTATTTTAGTATTTATAAGGAATAATGAATTCGCCTATATGACCACAATCATATAACCAAAGAACATAACTTGTATTTTGTTCATTTTTCAGGGGACCAAAAAGGAAAACAGTTCGAAATTCGGCGAATAACACTGGCTTACCACATCAATATTATAGTGTCATTTCTTCTTTTTTAAGAAAGAAAAATCTGGGTTGAGAAATTTTCTCGCCATTCCAACATCAGCAACCTCTTTTCCATTAGAGCAATTGTCATCTAATCCAACCCCTGCCTAACATAGATTCTATTGCATCTTGTAAGACATCAAGCCCTAACTAGTTTTGTATTAGGATCCAAAACCCAAAAGAGACCTATTTAACTCCTTGTAACTTTATACATAATTTGGTGTAACAGGACACTTCTCTATTGCAAGATTGGGTTTGGGTACTATCAACAAGACCTACCAATAAAGTAATATTTTCTTTATTTTATTATCATTTATATAAATATAATAATAATGATTATTTATTTATTTATTTATTTTTTTTTATTTTAAAAAAAGGCAACATGAAGAACTGGATTGCTGGGAACTAGATATATATGGGTAATCTATGTTGTATATGTAAATCAGTAACTTTTCTTATTCAATAACTGGACAAGTTTAAAATTGAATAGTGTCTTTTTTTGGTCAAAAAATTAAATCATTTTCTTCTACTTGTATATTTGTTTATTTTTATTTTTTTTCTTATATGCAGAGCCCTCCAAAGTTAACAGGACCAAATCTTCTTTTAAAGCATAGCCCAAATCTTCTTGTCTTCTTAGGCCATCTTCAGCCATGGGCTATATTCCAAATATAGCCCTAAAATAATACAAAACTCATCTTCAGTCATGGGCTAAATAAAATTTTGGGGATACATTTGGCTCTTTAGCCCTCCAACCGAGCCAAATGTAGCCCAGCTTTGGCCTAAGCCAAATTCATAGTGGGCCCCACCATGTGCTTTTCAACCACCAAACATTAAAGCACTCCTCACTTCTCTTTCTCAAAATAAAAAAATATGAAGGACCGTAAAATATAGTCCTGCATGGCTGGAGATAGAAAAATTTAGCCATACACTATTCTTTAAAAAATTAATATTTTGGGAGGCTAAATTTTTAGCCATGAACTACATTTAGCCATATGACTGGAGATGGATTCCTCTCTTCCCCTACTTACAAACTTTCTTGCCTGATTAAGTGAGTTGAGTGAGTAGAGACATTGTACAAAATAAGCTGGTAGGGAGATGTCAAATACCAAACATCAAATTTAAATTTGATGGTGGATGTGGCAATTTGACATCTTACACAGCTTTACACTCCACCCGATATGTCAAATTAAATTATTATTTTATTACATTTTAGTGTTGATTTATTTTTAATTATAAATATATATATATATATATATATTCATTTGACATCTTGCTTTTGAGATATCAAAAATAACATCTCAACCTTCAACCTTCATTCCACATCAGCTTTGACACATCGGTTGAAGTGATGATAAATGTTATTTCTAGCCATCAAATGTCTATGTAACACTTTTGACACATCGGTTGGAGATGCTCTAAGAATAGCAAGTAATCATCATATTGTACAAGATGTATGTTCATGCAGGCTTGTGTTCAAATATTAACACCTTCCAGCCTCCTCAAAGGGAACCCTGTTAATTAATCGCCATACTGGAACATGAATAAATTCGACGCGGAGAGCGGACCAGTTCCGAGCTTCTGCCAACAGGAAGGCCTTCCACTCTCCAATAGCCTCAGTTTTCCCCTCTAGAAGGGGTCCTCTATTTCCTGACTACTGTGGTCTAAGTTTAACTTTAAAGAATATGGAAACTGCGCTTCAAATAAGCAAGCATAAGGCTTTTAAAATTAATCAAAGACCATTGATCAAAGATAGCCATAAGCTTCGACCACCTACTAAAGCTTCTTTCTCCTTCCCGGCTTGGCTTGAACGACTCCCATGGAGGCTGACCTCAAACATTGTAGCCCTGTTCCATTAATAGTGACATACAAATGTTCAACAAAAGCTTCATCCTCCAGCTGGTGGCTGGTGCTGAAAACACATTGTGAACAAAATACACTGAACTGGAAATAATGGGAATGGAACACAAAAGAGAAGACAAATGCAGCATGGATAAGCAAGACCCCTTTCCAAGTTTCAGAATGGATAAAGAGGTGTACATGTGCTTAAAAAATCACTTTTCTAGAAATACCTGAGACTGCATCAAGCAGTAATTCAACAGGAATAGTAACAGAACACATGTGTACAACGAACAAACAACACTTTGTTTCAACGACATAGATTCAATTCCAATTGCCGCACTAATTTTATGAGAATTTCTTGAGGCTTGCACTGAGAAAATAGGGTTTTGGCATATGCCCAAATGCATGACTTGAAACAAGAAATGAAATCATGCTGCTGAATTTGATAAACATATCAAGAAATCTAGACACATAAGTAAAGCATGTAGCAAGAATCACATGGCAATGATAATACTTAGAAGGCACAAAACAAAACTTACTTTCAATACTATGAATCATTATCACTTCGCTTGCTCCTCTACATTAAGATTATAAGTTAAGGATTATGATAAGAAAAAGGTCAAACACCAGCACAGTGGCTGACAACCAGAAACTATCAACACCAGCACAGTGGCTGAGAACCAGAAACTATCTCATGTTATCATTACTTGAAAATCAGATAAACATCTACAAGTCTCTCACAATGGAACAATCACAGAAGATTAAATCTTGACAATTTCCTAATGGTATCCTTATCATTACCATGTTGGAAGTCCAAATCCACAGGTAATAATCATATTATACGTAGTTCATTTATACAACAAGCTGTAGTCTATGTGAGAGATGTCTCCAGACAAGTATTTAAAGATTTTCTGTATGAGAAACTCTCAAACCAATGTTTTGGAGCAGCTGGGTGAATTCCAAAAGCCCGAGCTACAAATTGCTTTTCACTAGTAGCAATTATGCTGGCTATAGAGTAGCTTTTAGAATACAATCCCTTCTCTTTGAGCCAAACATAAAATCTATATCTGGGCTTGATCCGGTTCTCCAAGTCAAAACACAAAAATGCTGGAAAAATATTGAGGTACTCCAAAGAAGGTTTCATTTCCTCGCTAATAAATTTTACTTTCGCTTCTAGAGATTCTGGGCTCTGATTCAGGATCTTCGGTGCTGTTCTTATCATCAAACAAAGCTTTGAGAATTCAATGCCTGTAGAAAGAAGGCTATCAAACCGCTTTTGTAGCTCACTGCTTCTGCCATGCAAACGGGCTAAGACCAGTAGAGTCAAAGGGTTCTCTCCAAACCCAATGCCATGCAAGAAATTCAATTTTGTCATTGTATGAATGGGTGTTGCCGAAGATTGGATCCTCTCCAATCCATCACTAAATTCTTTTGCAGTGTCTTCATCAAAATCACTGATAACATAATTAGCTAACAATTGATGTTCATTCTTAATCTTAGTGAAGAACCATTCATGAAGATCCAGAGCCCTCACTAGATGTGGTAAATTTGCCATTTTATTTCTTCCCATCGCATGAGGGTATTTTTCACTCACAGCCTCTAATTCTTTCGTGTCCAATCCAAAATGTTTCAACAATCCCAATGCTGATATCACTGGTGTTTCCAGATCAAGGTTTAAAATCTCTGGACTTTGAAGAAGCAACAAACCTACATCCTCCTTCCTAACACCAAACTTACAAAAGTACTTTGCTTTCTGGAACAAAACCTCTGCTGGGCATTCAAGAAAAACATCTTTCCTCCTACCCAGAAATTCCCCTATCTTCCCATTCTCACCACCCAAATCGTAAAACACCCGAACTTTCTTACAGACCTCATACCAAGACTCTACATTTGCCTCAGCAAAATTTTCAATATCAAACTCCAGAAAAACCCTTTTCAAATCATCAAACAATGCCACAATATCACCACCCAGATCACCCTCCAGGCTCAACAAATACGGGAAAGCCAGGCACATACCCACAACTGAATGATTACCAAATCCATATTCCTTAAACCTACTAAGCCTAGCTTTTAACACCTTTGAACTCTCTCTAAAAATAGAAAGCTCCTCTTCATACAACTTCCCTAACATATTCCAAGGAAACCCAAATGCAGAAAGTTCACAAGCAGCATCCAAAACAGTCCCATCTTCAGAGAGGAAGTACTTGTTGGGAGGCACAAAGTGACAAACTTGACTGTAATCTATGCCAATGCTTTCAAAGAAAAACTCAAATTCATTGATGGGGTGGTACCTGAGGAATCTCTGGATGCGATTTGTGAAACTCGGGGCCGAAAAATCGACCCTTTTGATGATATTGGTGAGGGAGAAGCGGCAGTTCTTGCTAATGTGCTCGGCGGATGGGAAGGAGAAGCCCCTGGTGGCGTGGAGGTAGTCGGTGAGGACCTTCTGGGCTCGCTCGACGGCTTCGGACTTGTACTTGTGGGGGACATTGGAGAGTTTAGGGAGCCTTGTGGTGGTTTTGGTGGCAGTGGAGAAGTGATGGGAAAGGAGGGTGTACAGAGATTTGGGGAGGGACATGTTCAAAGGGTTTTTCAGAAAATATGAGTTTTATGGGAGAAACATAAGAAACAGAGATTTGGGGAGGGACATGTTCAAAGGGTTTTTCAGAAAATATGAGCTTAATGGGAGAAACATAAGAAACAGCTTTCATAAACCCACATTTTTATTTGGGTTAAAATTTGGCACTCTCCCAAAAAAAAAAAAAAAAAAAACTCTCGCCTGTCTGCCTTCAAATGTAAGCTTCTTTTGCTTTTTTGGACCAAGAAAATAAAAGAAGTAAAGTATAATAAACAAATTTTTCTTTTTTTTTTAATTGAAGAGCAGAGTTTACCTCACGTTTCTTTTCTTTGTCACTAAAAAGTCGATGTGTGGACTCATTCTAATCCAAACACATTACCCCACCCTCCCTCAAATACATTTCTTACCTCACATTTCTAATTTGTCTCGTTCCCTTCCTTCCTACATTTTCTCTCGATGCCCTAATGACATGGAAACTTTTTATTTTATTTTATTGATATTAACATTACTGCATGGTGCAGGGCTTATAATTCAAGTGGTTGTTTAAATAAATTGGGAGTTCAATTCAAACTCAATGTGATACACTTTTACGAAATATGATTTCAAATAAACTCACCCCAAGCTCAAACTTGAAAAATAAATCTTAAGACAAATAAATCAATTTATATATATTGGAAACTTTTAGCAAGCCAAAGGGGGCAAATCGAAAGAAGGTCATCAATTTAGGGGCAAATGCTAAACTTTTTCCTGCATATTCATATAAAAATAAGTTCAAATAAGGGATTTATTACTGCATGAAAAGCAAGAGAAACTTTGTTTACAATCCATTTGTGTAAAGTATTCAAACCGTTAATACAAGTGCACTAGCATCTGACTTTGTTACAATTGATACATGTGTTAAGCATATGTCTTTGTTACAAGGAAGGAAAACTTTGTTATAGTCCATGCTTGGATATCTAAAACATTTGTCTCCTTCATTGTTTACTCATTGTGATGCATCAAACATTCGGTGTGAATCTTGTGTCTTTGCTAAAAGTCATGCTAAGTTTGCTACTAATGGAAAGAAGTGCGTCGTTACTTTTTGTTAATGATTGTATCCGATTTTTGATGGCAAATAATTGGTTCAAAATTATCAAATTCATAAATTCTAAATGGGTTCAAATTAAAAAAAAAGCCTTTAAATCAAAATCAAGGCCACACAAACTCAACCAGTGAACTACGCCCGTTTTAATTTCATAAAGAATACGTTGGCAGCCTAGCATCTTAATAGATGTCACTGCAATCAAATTTCAATCACTGTTCCAATGAAACGAGATTAATGAAGAGCAGTGTACCTCGTATATGAGTTTAATCATACCGATAACTACCCAGTAAAAAGACAAGACTGACCAGTCCTGACTGAGGAGTTCTGGTAAGGTGAGAAGGTATATAACAAAAACCGTAGGGCCAAACATGTAATTTTACTTGTACTCAACCTATACGGCTAACATCCCTTTCACGATCAATTTTATTTCCGCCGACCAAAACAAATTTTAACCCAAAAAAAACAGAAACAGAAACGCAAACCAAAATGGCGCAACCAGGCCAACTGCCCATACACCCCCAAATCCAAATGCCACCCACCACCCTAATACCCATAACCGGATCCGAACCCGCCCAATCAGCTACCTTGAAGCGCCGCCGAGAAGACGAGTATCCTCCGGTGTTGGCTGGGCCGGAGCCCCAGGAACCCGGGGCCAAGCGCCGCGCCAAGGCCCAAGACGTCATCTTCAGAATCGTTGTTCCGTCGAGGCAGATCGGCAAGGTCATAGGCAAAGAGGGGTGTCGAATCCAGAAGATTCGCGAAGAGACCAAGGCCAATATCAAAATCGCCGACGCCATCGCTGTGTGTAACTCTCTCCTCGATTTCTTTTCTTTAGGGTTTCGTAATTTTTTTACTGTTGTTTTGGGTTTTGAATTTTTTTTGCCTTTTTGCAGAGGCACGAGGAGCGTGTGATTATAATAAGTTCGAAGGATAGTGATAACGCGAGTACTGATGCCGAGAAGGCGCTGCAGCAAATAGCTGGGTTGATTCTGAAGGTGATCAATAGTGTTATTTTGTGCTTTCTTGGTTGTTATGGTCAGGTTGATATTATGAAATTGCAGGGTTTAAATTAAGTTTTCAGTTTTATGTTCTTTTAAATTGGGTTAGTAGGAAATGGTTGACAATCACAATTATATTGTATAGAGGTTATTAGTGCTGAAAGTTGAGTCTTTACCTGCAAAAAGCTGCTACAGACGACCCCTCAGTTATTTCACCACCTGCTCGTTATCTTGAAGCATCTTAATTTTAGGTAGTTTTCGCCATGTAAAGAAATAATCACAACTACTAAGTGCTAGAATTTGATGTGTTTCAATTGGATTGTTAGAGTCCTTGTGTTTCTGAGCTTAAAAGGGTTAAGAGGTGATTTTGGGTTTGTGAATTTTATAAAGAAATGAATGATTTCTAAATGTATGCTATTAACAGGAAGATGATAGTGGTGCTGAGGCAGCAAAAGTTGGTGCAGGACATGTGGCTGCCAATACCATTAGACTTTTGATTGCTGGGTCCCAAGCAGGTTCATTAATTGGGATGTCTGGCCAGAATATTGAGAAATTGCGGAACTCCTCTGGTGCCACAATCACAATTCTTGCCCCAAATCAGTTGCCTTTGTGTGCATCTGCCCATGAATCTGATCGAGTGGTACAGGTGAGTTTGTCAGCATTTTGAATTCAAAATGGTGATGTGTGGTACTTTTCTTTATTCGAGATTGTTGGTTGATCTTGATATGTAAGATTGAAAAACATTTTTGTGTTAACGGTTTGGCTTTATCTTACAGAACCTGTACTTAGTTTTGGCTCTACTATTTTTTTCTCTATCAAGGTTGACTGATAATTGACGTTATTATTAGGTATCAGGTGATGTGCCTGCTGTTCTGAAGGCTTTGGAAGAGATTGGTGATCAACTAAGGTTACATTAAATTCTTGTTTACATGGTGTTCGAAACTATTCTTGCTCATTCTTCTTTTCTGAAGTCAATTTGCTTGACCTTCTATCAATTTAATTTTGTTTAGAGAAAACCCACCCCGGCAAGTGATTTCCATCAGTCCAGCATATAACTATACAACAATTCGACCGCCTCAAGTTCAACCGTACATGGACCCAACTTCAGGTTATTCCACACTTTCCATATAAAAATAACTAAACATTACAAACGCAACCTTATTCGGTTCTATCAAGTTTTAATTTTTTGTCTCATAACCACATCATCTTTAGGACAACCAATCTTGCAGCTGAATATATAACCTTCGAGATGGTGATATCGGAAACACTAGTTGGTGGGTTGATTGGCAGATGCGGCTCCAACATTCAAAGGATCAGAAATGAGTCTGGAGCAATGATCAAGGTGGGTTGAGTTTTATCGTTAAGCATTTATAAGCAGTGTCCCTGGTTTAAAGTGGTTATTCTCATTTATAGTTCTCAATTTTTGGTTTTTCCTGTGAATTACTGTGTTTTATGATAGCTAATATGGTTTTGTGTTTTGTAGGTTTATGGTGGGAAAGGTGCGCAAAAACATAGGCAAATTCAGTTTTGCGGTAGTGCACAACAGGTTATCCATATTTTTTTTTACCTTTCTTACCAATTTGTTGTAAAAACCATCACTGAGTCAGGAAAAAATGTTGTGTTAAAGCCACTGTAGCATGGACTGAAGACTGCGTGGTGGATTGTAGTTTGTCATTTATCTAAGAGCCATCATTAAGAAAACAGAAAATTGAAAGAATAAATTTTATACAAATTCTTGTCCAGAAATAATGACGTTTTCAGTAACTAGTTCCACTTTAGATTATTTAATAAATTGTTGCCAAGAGAGTGCTTGCAGTTGGGTGGTGTTGGGTTGAATGTTATCTTTTTAACATTCCATATTTCAAAACACTACCAACAAGTTAAATAAATTTCTGAAATGCAAACTTTGTAATTTGGAAAGGCTCAGGTTGCTTAGTTGAGAAACAAGTATGCTGGTATTTTATTTATTTATTTACAATATATGGACTTTTAATTCACACAAAATCTTTGGTTGTGTACCAGGTGGCACTGGCAAAGCAGAGGGTTGATGAGTACATATATTCTCAGCTGATACAACAAGCTGGTGCTCAACAGCCGGCGTAAGTTTCCTGCGTTAATGCTTTTTTCTTTTTATCCACGTCTCCATTTGGCTGTCACATGTTGCTAGCATATATAACATGATTTAAGAAGAGTGATATTGTCGTCCTCTCTCTCTCTCTCCCCAAACTTTACTGGGGATGTATAAGTTTAGTTGCTCTTTTGTTGGTATATATCCCACTATTTTGCCTATTTCTAATCCAATACAGATGTTCTGTCCTCAGTTTACAGTGAAAGATGAAGCAGGAAATTCAGATCTCCGTCTTCCGTCTCTACATTCAGCACCACATAATCAGTTCCTGTTAACCGCTGACCCTTAGTGCTTCATAGCGAATTTATGAATGTGAGTCATGCAGTTGGATTGCCTGGAAAAAATGATGTACCAGATCATGGAAATTTGGCAATATACAGTAAATCTTGTTTGTAATGATTGCGTTTGCAAGATATTTGAAGAAGGTCAAAATCTTTTAGATGCGTAAATCCGAGTATAATTTGTAAATTCATAAGGCTTTAAAAGATAGGTCTGGTGTGTGTGCATTTTGTTGGGTTAAGAATTGAAATGAGTCATTTGAGGATGACAATATAAATAATACAAATTTATAAATAAATAGTAAAACCTTCGTAAGGGAAACTAGTACAGATCTTTCAGCATAAAGACCAAGGCTTTCAATTGAAGAAACTCAACAGGGTCTTTGTAAATCAAATTACTTCCATAAAATTCTTAACCTTTACCCTTTTTTCTCTTCTCTACAAGAAAATTCTTGATTTGAATGGCCGAATAAATATAGTGGTATGATAAATGTAGTGCATATGTACACCATTACTATCTGTTGCTTGAGCAATAGACAGGTTCTTTCCAAGTGAAACTTGTTAATGACAAAAGCAGCATGATGCCAACAAGAGGAAAACCATAA